GCGTAGCAATAGGGCAGTGTGTGATCAACATTCCCAGCACAAGAGTGAAGGGGGGTGAAGGGGTGACAACGTCAGCGTGGAGTGTGGAGGGTTCTCATCAATGCCGCTCGAAAGGTCACACCACACTACATTTAAATAAACAAGGAAAAAATTGTGATAGTGAAGAGGTGATACAAGGATATATATGAGAGCTGAATAGTTCGGGACAGAAAGAGAGATACCACAACTGTTTAGCACACGTTTGACGAGTTGTAGTGTGGTGCTAAGAATGACAAGACTCACTGACGATGACGGCGAAACGTCTGGGAATGTACCACGTCCACGGTCCGACTTTGGAATTTATCATGCATACAATGGACTCCGGACTAGGTGCATTCCTCGAAGTGAACAAGTTCCGAAAACAAGGTCAACCAACTTCTAATCTGCATTAAATCCAACCAAACTGGCCTAATGCCTCAATTACATTTTATGTTTTCTGGTGCTCAGCATCGAGACTCGAGCTATTTCGAGTCGAGTCTCAGAGCTTCGGCCTCCTTGTCGGTGTCAGTTTAGTAAACAGCATCTGCTTTCCTCTCCTGAAGTGTATAAGAAAGCCGTAAAAAGACAAATAACCCTTTTTCCAACTTTTGATAGCTTTCCTCGTTTCGCAGTCCACTTTAGAACAGGCTTCGCTAACATGTTGGGATCACTTACCTTTTATTATATACATTCTCACCCGGCTTGCATTTATATTTTATTGTGGCTTTTGTAGTTTAAGGCAACTTCATGTTGATTTTTCCCACAATAAAATGAGTAGACCCACTTATTTCTGCCTACCACGAGGTTTTCGCCATCCCCAGATGGACTGCATACTCTTCAGCACTCCAACATAATTTAAAATCAGGTTTTATTAACCGTGGCGACATGGTACCACTCCACCACACAGTCTCGTTTGTCATTGGGTCTCATAAGTCAGATGTACATTTCACGACAAGCCAAGTCTCTCTAAAATCAAATTTTATGCTGAGATTGTCGATAAGGCAAACTTGTATATGTGCCAAGTTAATTATTCAAGTCTAATTGAGTGCATAGAGAAATACTTATTTCAAAAATAAGTGACGACGTCGATTGTAATGGGAAATCCAAATAAGCCTGAGCTAAAAAAAATTCACACAAATCCTTTGACAATGTAACTTGTGGCTGTTTGGTGCAGTGGTAAACTGTTGTATGCGAAGAAAAGTTGGGTTTAGAGGAATCTCTTGGTCTGCAATTTGTTGGGCTCACTTCCAGTTCGAGTAAAAGTGTGTGCTGCCGAGATTCGAAGGTCAATCTGAC